AAAAAAAAAGTTGAAATTTGGACAATTCTGAATTTATAATCCAAATTGTAAGAAATTTAATTAAGTGTTAATACATCTTTATAACACTTATTGGCCTAGATTGTCACTGAATAGCATTGTTTGATATAATATGTTGAAATTGCAAAATCAAATCTCTCTACAAACCAGATACCTTTAGAAATTGATCATGTCTTGATCATCTAAACATAGTCTTTCCATCATCCTATGAAAAAGATTTATTAAAGAAGTCATAAGAAGACTTCCCTCAGCCTTCATAAGGCACTATTTATCTTTTATATCAATAAATTTTCTTTCTTCAATTCATGATATTTAGGCTTCCTAGTAGTGCCATTCTTTGAACTTTATCAGGTTTGTGTTGAGGAGGCGGAAGGTGAAAGTAAATAAAGCTGCATGAACCACAAAAGCTTCTGTGGCCTAGGAAAGCCCTTTAGTCCCACGTTGGCAGTTCTGTTCTGCAAAGGCCCTTTGGTTTACTGTGTTGGTAGTTGTACTGTTTTGACCCTGCATGCCGTCAAGGATGGTTATCCTTTTTTGTTACGATAGCATAAAAACATTTGGAGACTGGGGTAAAAACTGCTTTTTTTTCATTGGAACAGGTTGGCGTAAAGGGAGAATGTGTTCATACATAGCAGTTTCTTTTCTTCTGTTTTTTAAGGTTAAGTTAAAACTGAAACTCCATGATGACTTTTCCACTTCTGATAAATTTTGAGTTTGTGGTTATGTCCTTGGTGGATTCACTGGTTTTCTTGCTGTCGTTTGTTGTTTGAAACTCAATATATATTTGATGCAGCCCAGGGGTTCCCGAACTTTGCAGCACATTAGAATCACCCGATGAGGCTTAAAAATCTACTAATCCTGACTGCTGATCCCAGGTGTTCTGACTTCTTTCTTCACTGCGGGGCGTGAGCTGTGCATCACGAGTTTAAACCTCCTCAGGTGATTCTGATGTGCAGCAAAGTCTGGGAACTGCTGGCCTAGCCTGACTTCCCCTCAGTCGACGGAGGACCAGATCCGCTGCCCAGTGGCCTGGCAGGTGGACTGAGAAATAGCCTTCTGCTAGGTCTTCTGCCTCCCCGTGACTGGTAGGGTAGAGTCGAGTCTCTGAGCAGGCGATGATTCCCTCTGAGTCTTTCTCTTTATTGATCATCTCCTGGACAAGCTTTGTTTTTCCTTTTTTTTTTTTGTGAATAATATATTTGGTATTAAGTCATTAGGGAAAATCAAATTTGTTTGGTATTTCTGAGCTTTAAATGATTTTGCACTTGTGGTCGTTGGTGAATCAGACAGCACTCCTGAAATGCATTTCTGATCCTCTTAATTCTGGATTTACAAAAGTTGGAACTTTCCTCTTTATTTGCTTGTTTTTTTCTCATTGTTCTTAGTTTCTTTGTAAATTAGGGAATGCTTGTTACCAGAATTCTCTTTGATCCAATTTTCTTTTTATACATTGGTATTAATAGTTTATTTTGGGTAATAGCTACTTTGAAGTACATCTTGACATTGTATATTGTTTAGCAAAAGGGTTTTCCAAAGCTCAACTAGTTCTTTGTTTCTTTGGACCTTTGTCTTGGACAGACTTGACTTTTGCATTTCACAGCCCGAAGGACGTCGTGGAGGGTTTTCAGAAGGGCTAGTACACTGAAACTAAGGAAGGTCCTTGTGTTAGGCTTAGGCCAGCTTCTTGGACTAAGGGAGTTTACATTTAGAAGGGCTTTTCACTGCACCCTACTTTTATTTTTCATTAAAAGCTGGGCCTGTTTTCTTCAGCGGATGCCTTGTTTGCCCAGAAAAATGCAGCAGGCAGCTCTACAAGGTGAGCGCCCCAGCCCACTGTGTGTGTCAGCCAGGAGCATTGAATTTGCACCTCAGAATCGGGACAAGGGCAAAGTACTGTATTTGGGATTATTTGACTTAGACTTCTCCAGTCAGCTTTACCGGCCTTAGATACTGAGACAAATTCAGACAGGTAGGAGTTTTATAAGAGACAAAAGGTGACTTAGGAATTTTTCTCAATGAAAAAGAGGCTAAGTGGTACCTCATGAGGCTGATGCATTAATCCCTGTTCTTGGCAGGTAGAATGTTACCCTCTCAGTGTATTCTTGCTTTTGCAGTGGGTTTGCGGATGGTTGTAAGCAAATACAACTTGTATACTTTTAACGGGAATTAAAAGTTTGTTAATGGGGGAACTGGTAAGAACAATTCTGATAGAAATGTTCTTGCCACATATCTCTGGAAATACATTTCTTGTGACGATGTCAGAGATATTGTGAGGAGAGATTTGCTCAGAATTTTTATTACAATTGATAAGCATTTTTAGCCTTTTCTGGGACTAATAACCAATTGTGTATAAGTAGTCTAATATTTTAGGTTCATGTTACTCATTTGTGGTTTTCAGAGTTAATTTGACTTATTGTATTAATAGTTGTAATGATAAAAATGAATTGTCATGGTTTTTATGTGAACTTTTATACTAAATGACTTTAATTCTATGCACCTCAAGTTTTTTTTTTGGAAGTAGGTGACAAATTATAAGTACATTTTAGGTCTGAACTCATTAAATAACACTTGCCCCCGATTTTCTCCTTCCAGCTCCGCAGAGAAAATAACTTACAAAAAATAGACTTTTGTAAATTATATTACATAAGAAAAGAAAATCCTTCACTGTTAATTCCTATCATTTTGCATTCTTGTAACCATGGGGAAACCAGGCTTTCCTGTTTCTTCATGAACCCTCTGAAAGTTTCTGTCTGGGTTTAATGCCTGGCTCTTGGGTCAGCAGTTTGTGCCTAATGATTTTTAGCTGTCAACCAATGGTTTTCTTTCTTGAATTGTAGTCTCATTTTGCTGCTGCTCCACATCCTTGTGGTTTTTATCTCAGTAAACCAGATGAAACTCCAAATTCTTGGATGTCTGATTCGGGAACAGGTATGGTACTTACATTTTTAAACAGTTTTTTTTTTTTTTAAACAACTTGTCTACATTTCTCATCATGGGGTGATAATCAGATACAATATATTGTGATTTTCTAAGTGTTGTATGTGTTGTGGTGTTCCTCTGGTAGCCCTAACTTTCTTTCTTAATTCGTTGCAAGTTCTGTAAAGATAGAATGAAGTACTTTTACAATTATCTCAAATAGCTTCAAACATCATCTCAGCCTTTTTCAGGTGCTCCAAAATGAATTAACAAATTCAAACCCTCTGTGAGCCACTTTTTACATGCCATGGTGAGCTTATTCTAATCTTAATGGCTTTATATACTGACTCCTTTTTTTTCCATATCCCACATCCAGTTCATCAGGATGAATCAGCTTTGCCTTGCAAAAATTTCCAGAATCCAACCACTTCTCACCACCTCCATGGCTACCACCCTTATGGTGCACCCCTCATCTGTCACTTGGGTGGCTGCAAGCTTCCTAAGCAGCCTCCCCGCTTCCACTCTTGCGTCCTTCAGTCTGTTCTCAACACAGTAGCCAAAGTGATCCTTTTAAAAGAGAAGTCAGATCATGTGACTCCGCTGCTCAAAACTCTGCAGTGGCTGCCTGTATCTCTCAGAATAACAGCCAGAGTCCTTACAGAGGCCTGCGAGGACCAGCCGATCCAGCCCTGATACCTCTTTGACCTCACTGTCTGCTACAGATGCTCCTTGACTTATGACGGGGTTATGTCCTGATAAATACGGGACGTTGAAAATATCATGTCGAAAATGCATTTAGTATACCATGCTACCAAACATCATAGCTTACTGTGGCCTTAAGTGTGCTCAGAACTTTTACATTAGCCTACAGTTGGGTAAAATCATCTAGCATGAAGCCTATTTATGTGTTGAATATTTTATGTAATTTATTGAATACTGTACTGAAAGTGAAAAACAGAATGGTTGTATGGGTACTTAACATATATTTTCTACTCAATGTCTAGTGCTTTTGCACCATTGTAAAGTCGAAAATTTGTTGATTGAACCAGGGTCCATCTATACTCTCCCTTTCTGTGCTAGAGCGGGGAGGCCGTTTGCTCAAATATGCCTCGTGTGTTCTTAGGATTTTTGCATTGGCTGCTCCCTCTCCTTGAAATGTTTCCCCCCCCCTTATGGGGGAACGTTCTCATACATGGCTAAAATGCCTAGCTCCCTCTTAATTGTTACACTCTCAATGAGCCAACCCTGATCAGGCTATTTGAAAATAGTGTCTGGCCCTCCCAACTGCAAAACCCCATTAATCCTATTTTAAAATTTTATCAAGTGCTTACCACCTTCTCACATACTGTATATAGGGTGTAATTTACCTATTATTCATGTCTTACTCCTCCTGCCTCCCTAGCCTAGCAATGTAGGTGCTCAGTAAACATTTGAATTATTGAATTCTTTACATTGATTCCATATGTCTGTACCACTCATAAAGAAATCATCTATTTTGAAATATATTTTAAATTGTGCTAATTCATTTTGACTTTTAATAATATTTCAGCTTTAAATATTAGTATCAAGTTAGGACTCTTACATGGTAAAGCATTCGTGTGACTCTCTCCCATCAAAATTCAACTTGCTTTAACCAGATAGCCAAAAACCAGTTTCTTCCTTTATTCTCTTTCTTCACGCTTTTCTATTCTGTGTATTTGTGCACGTTAGGACTGACTTATTGGAAACTAGAGGAGAAGGACACATATCACTCTTTGCCTGAAACTTTAGAGAAGACTGTTGTACCGTTGTCCTCCACAGACATGTTACCCGGGCAGGTAACTTAAAAACACATTGTATGTTTGTGTGTATTTGTGTTTTACAACTGTTAAGTACTCCATTATAAATTTTTTGTTTTTCAACTTCTGAAATACTGGAAAAAGCATGGGCTTTAGAATCATACTTACCTGTTTTCAAATTCTGTCTCTGTCATTTATTCCCTGTGTAATCTTAGGAAACTACTTAAAAATTGACTTAAAAATATTGGTTAGTGTTTAGTCAAATTAAATGGTTTGTACCTACTAATTTATATATAGTAGGTCCTCAGCTATTAACTTCCTCGCCTTTTCCCAGACCTGGTATTGATTTTTCATCCTATTACACCTCCCACTGATCCATTTGTACCATAATTATGAGCAATTTAATTTGTTATATTAATTTTCTTTGAGCAAGAAATGTCAACTTCTTAAGTTTCAGAGCAAAGAAATAAAACTGTTCAGTATGTGTACATCATCAGTGTGCGTATTTCACTTCTGTATTTTGATCAGGTAATGGGAGCGTAGGCTGGGGAAAAGAGGAGATACAATTAAAGTAACCACGAGATGTAAAAGTGAGTGATGTGTACAGACTGGGCAAAGGGGACACCAGTGTAATGTACGCATTAGAGTACCGCAGAGTGACAGAAACCAACATTCCGTCCTTGAGGAAAGGAAGGAGATGAACACAAAGAGGAAGCAGGAGAGAGCTGAGGTGGGCTGCGTGCGAAGGGCTCCCTGGCACCTCCTCTCCAACAGCAGTGCGTTTGCGCCGTGTTGTGTTCAGTCTCAGATGCCGTCGGTTTTAAGGCTTCCCGTTTCATAGTCTACCCACAGAAGAAACTTAAGAATTATAACGATATGATGCTTTCTTACCACTTTAGAATTTATATTTTATTATGGGAAGAGCTTTTAGACTTAAACAGATTTTTTTGTCATATAACTCTTATACATACTTTAAAAAGAAAAACAAGTGAAATAAGAGTGGCTAAAACTCCTTCAAGGCCTACACCTCTCTCTTTTCAACTCAGTGTTCGTTTCTGTGTTTTTCCAACATATTATCTTCCTTCAGGCCACCAAGAGCATTGGTGATTCGGGTTTGGGTTTTTTGTGGTTTTTTTGTTTGTTTTTTAAGAGCTAGGTCTTGCTCTGTCACCCAGGCAGGAGTGCAGTGGTGTGATCATAGCTCACTGTAACGTTGAACTCCTGGGCTCAGGTGATCCTCCCCTCTCAGCTTCCTGAGTAGCTAAGACCATGGATGTGCACCACCATGCCCAGCTAATTTTTTTATTTTTTAAATTAATTTTTCTTTCTTCTTTTTTTTTTTTTTTTGAGGCAGTCTTGCTCTGTCACCCTGGCTAGAGTGCAGTGGTGTCATCATAGCTCACTGCAACCTCAAACTCCTGGGCTCAAGCAATCCTCCTGCCTCAGCCTCCAAATAACTGGGACTACAAGTATGCACCACCATGCCTGGCTAACTTTTAAAAAATTTATAGAGACGGGAAAGGAAAGGGGTCTCACTGTTTTGCCCAGGCTGGTCTCAAACTCCTGGCCTCAAGTCATCCTCCTGGTTTGGCCTCCCAAAGTGCTGGGATTATAGGTGTGCCTGGCCCAGTATTTCTTTAGAAAAGAATGAAAGGCTTTGGTGCTGAGTTTTTAACCTGGCTTAGTAATCATGTAGGACTAGCCTACTTTTGACTCCCGGACAGAGACTGTTGCTAAACACATCTGACTGACCCTTCTCTTAGGTGTTCCGTTGTAGTCTCCACGATTGTCTTCTATTAATTACAAGAGGCATCCTTACTTCAGAGACGTTAAAATATGAAAAGAAAACATCATAAAAGTGGTGAAAAATAGTACCTTTTATTACCTTGAGTTCCTAATAGAATAACTCCAGCTGTTCCCCCACGAGCAATGAAGCAAGGACTGCCCGGGCTACAGCTGTAGCCAGAGTGCTGCTACTTGTCATGAGCTTTAAGTCTTGAAAAGGCTTCTTTAGTTTGTTGGTATGTAAAGAGTAAAATTCCAAAGCAGGATTATGGGAATTGTACATTTTAAGAGTTTAGATTTAGCAAACTAACGCCTTTAATTCACACACCAAAGGTATAATTAATTATTTTTTATTCATAAGCTAGTTATAGGGTTTATTAAAAAATATTAATTCATGGTTCTCTGCAGCCTGTATAGGGTCTGGGAATGGGATGTAAGTTTAAAGCTGTAAGATGAATGTGTTCTTTCAGTTTATCTCTTGTTGAATCTACAATGTTATTTGAGACAATGTTAAGTTTAACTTTGAGGCCCAGGGTTAAGGGGTACACACCCCACAATATGTCCCACCTTGAAATAGTAGCTCACTGCAACCTCAAACTCCTGGGCTCACATGATCCTCATGCCTCAGTCTCCTGAGTAGCTGGGATTACAGGCGCACGCCACTACGCCCAGCGAATTATTTTATTTTTTGTAGAGATGGGGTCTCCTGTTCAGGCTGGTCTCGAACTTCTGACCTCAAGCAATCTTCCCACCTCAGCCTCCCGGAGTGCTAGGATTACAGGCATGAGCCACTGCGCCCAGCAAGCCCAAAGATTTGATGTTTGGAGCTTTGACCTCTTTGCATTTCTAGCATAGAAAAGCTAGCTGATTTCAAGCTTTAGAAATTAGAGTCATAGGCTCACACCTATGATCCTAGCACTTTGGGAGGCTGAGGGGAGGATTGCTTGAGCCCAGGGGTTGGAAATCAGCCTGAGCAACATAGCAAGATCCCATTTCTACAAAAAATTTTTAAAAAGTTAGCTGGGTGTAGTGACATGTGCCTGTGGTCCTAACTGTTTGGAGGCCAAGCCAGGAGGATTGCTTGAGCCCAGAAGTTCGAGTTTGCAGTGAGCTACGATCACATCACTGTACTCCAGCCTGGGCAACAGAGTGAGACCCTGTCTGGGAAAAAAAAGGTCATAGCTTCTTATCTTACTCATGAAAAAAGGGGTTTATTTTCATTGGGTAACTTCTTAACACTTTTTTGTCTGCCAACTCTTTTAAAAAAAACATGTCTATCACTATATCTATGAGGAACTCTTGATACTTATCCCTGAGTCACTTGAAATTAATTTGGCCAGAATTTTCTCATCCTGCTTCAATCTTTCATTATGAAGTCTTTTCTTACCTCAAAACTTGGGTTTTTTTCTGAGTGGGGAGACTACCAATGATTTTATTCTTTACAAGTGTTCATAGGCTGCTAAAAATTAATAATTAAGGTGAAATTATCCCTTTAATATTCATTTTTAGGAGATAGGAAAGTGATTTCATTCTGAGGGAGACTCTTTTTTTTTTCTTTTGGAGACAGGGTCTCACTCTTTTTGCCCGGGCTAGAATGAGTGCCGTGGCGTCAGCCTAGCTCACAGCAACCTCACACTCCTGGGCTCAAGCAATCCTTCTGCCTCAGCCTCCCGAGTAGCTGGGACTACAGGCAC